GGGAGTGCCTTCCGTCTGGCCACTCTACCATACAGGCCTGATTGGTGGATTGCTGCACAGATGGTTGTCCTTCTGTAAGGTTCTCCTCTCTTCACAGAAGAAGCTGGAGCTCAGACAGAGTAACCATCAGGTTATTGATCACCTCCCTGACTAAGGCCCTTCTCCCCCAATCACTTAGCGTAGATGGCTGACCAGCTCTAGGAAGAGTCCTGGTGGTTCCAAACATCTTCCACTTATGGATGATGGAGGCCACTGTGCTCACTGAAACTTTCAGAGCAGCAGAAATGTTTCTGTAAGCTTTCCCAGCCCTGTGCCTCATGACAATTCTGTATCGGAGGTCTACAGACAATTCCTTTGTCTTCATGCTTGGTTTTTGCTTTGGCATGCACTTTCAACCCTGGAACCTTATATAGACAGGTGCATTCATTTATTTTAGATGGGTTTTACTTTTTAATAAATTTGCAACAATTTCAAAAATCTTTTTTCACATTGTCATTATGGGGTGTTGTGAGTACAATTTTGAAGAAATAAATTAATTTAATCCATCTTGGAATAAGGCTGTAACATAAAAAATATGGGAAAAGTGAAGCTCAATAAATACTTTCTGGATGTACTGTATATAACTCACAATGAGTCACAAGCTAATAAAACTTTTACCACTAAGTTTGGAGTTTTCTTAATTAGACTATGCAGAAAACAACAACATCATCTGTGCTACAATTGTGTACAATATTGCAGGACCAGTAAAGCCTCCAGAAACTAAAATTGTGACATGCACTGTGAATTGGTAGGCCGATGACAACTGGGTCAACTGACCAATCAGAGAAGAGTAGGCTCTCAGAATTAAGGCATTACAAAGAACAAATCATCATATAAAACTTTGGAAATCTTTGAGAATTCCAACCACAAAGTTGTAAATAGGAGTGGGAAACTCATGCTGTGTTTTGATTGGAACTTTGGAGTCAAAACATTCATGGTTGCCATGTGCTCAAATCTGCCAACTGCAAAGTTCCTAACTAAATGAGGGATTTTGAAGGCATGGACACTTTTTGCTCCCATGGTTCTTTGTGGATGTTTAATTTGTGAAGCAGATGTTATAAGATGACACAGAAGTGCATTCCAAGCAGCAGCTCTTTTGGTCCCCTACACCCTTCATCCCTTCGAAGTGTCTCTCTGGAGGATAAAGCCGTCAAAGTGATTAGGGCATATAGTGATGAAACATTTAAAATGGAACCCTGCCTCTGAACTTCAGTTTAATTAGAAGTTGGAAATTCCAAGTTCCCAGTAGAAGTTCCCGCCTAAGTTGGAGGAACCAGTGATATATACTTTTATGATAAGTGTATTGCTAAAGATTGCACAAACAAGGTTTCCTGGAATGGATGCATCTTTATCAGTTTGCCAAAACTCAAATGAGACAAAGGGAATGCAAAGTTTATGACTGGTGTCTTTGACTCTAAAAAAGAATAGCAGACTCAATAGAGGAATTACCAACCTACTTCAAACATAACGTCACACCAGTTCTTGGTAGCAAAAAAAGACCGGCTGCAATTGCAGCAATAATTTTAGCAAAAACAGTTAAATATGGTGAACTAAACTGCGGACACTAAATGCTTAGAATGAAATGTAAACATGTAAGTTTACATACCCTGCCGTACAGGTGCAGTTCACTGTCAGATTGCAGTTGTTTTGCTTGTTGATGGTTTTCTAGGACTTGTACAGTTCCATTTTCTTTCCTTGTCTTTGGCTAGGCAGAACCTCAGTTTTTAGCACTACATGTTGAATCTGGTAATCATTGAACATTATTATTAATATTTCTTGCACATGACCACACAAAACACAATTTTAGACATCCAAAGACTTGTAGGCCTTTAACTTCTCTCTTGCAAAAACACTTGGAGTTTTAATGAGATAGTTGTATATTCCGGGCTGGATGCTTGGCCATGTCATCTTATCCAAAATCCATTGGGAGGGTGCTATCCAAATAGACCTGTCAGATGAACGCTGCTCACTTTAAGATTAATTTAGCAGAATAACTGTGCTTATTTCTGGGTGACAAGCTGTTATAATACCCTGAAAGCATTATGTAAATTATATATATATATATATATATATATATATATATATATATATATGTATATAATATTTAATCAATGTAACTTATTTCTAAGACAATAACAAACTCTGTACCACATCAGATGTCATCACCTCGTTGCGCTCTCATTTTTTTTTTCTGAATGCTTACAAACCGGTAATTCGTCTACAGATGCAGTTTTTGGGTTGACATGAATTTATCTAAATGTTTATGTTTGCTTACAATGAAACAGCTGTATGTATACAATATTAAAGTATTGTACATTTATTTTCTGATTTGCTTATACCTAATAACAACATAGGCTTATTTTTAAAATGAAGCCCTATGTAATTTCAGAAGATCGCTATTTTAAATCAAATCAGGCCTTAATTTGTCACATACACTTTCTTATAGTGAAATTGACCCCCCCGACAATATATAAACATCAATTTTCCGGGGAAGACATGTCACAGGAGGTAGCATTTAGAAAATGGAAGTAAGATACATCAGGAGAGGGTGAACATCCACAAACTCCATATAGAAATGCCAACTGACCCAGCCGGGACTCGAACTAGCGATCTTCTTGCTGTGAGGCGAAAATGCTAACCACTGAACCACAATGTTGCCCTGATTTATGTATTTAAAATTGATTAAATTGTGGAAAGATTTGTTAATTCAGTATCAACGTACAGGTTCGGTGTCTTTGAAATGCATAGGGTAATTGGGTGAACAGCACATCATGATATTATAAAAAGTTTAAATCTAAAAATTGCTTTCCCCAAGTTCCCATGGACAAATGCAAATCCCCAATTTAAAATGTGCTAGGATGTCATTTCAACTTAGCTGCAGTGAGTTCACAGGCAAAGCCCCGCAGAAGTTTGCTTCCACAAGCTGAGGATAATTTCAGCCTCGGGGTTGCATCAGCTTCAGCACCGCACGAAAACATTCACAGGCCCTACTCCCCCCAAAATAAACAGGTAAATATGAACAAGCCTGCGGCATGGTGCGAAATTATGCAAATTTCATCTTGACTTGAACTATACGGGTCGAGGAAGCAAAAAATACCACAGAAGAGACTGGGTGTCAACTGAAATGTACATCTCCAAACAGCTGGGAAGTGTATTGCATTTCAACAGAAACACATGTAGTGACTAAAATTCAGTAGTGGAAATGGGAGACCAAAACTTACTAGTCATTTCTATGATTGTTGCAGGCTGAAACACTACCACTTGCTACCCAAACTACTTTGCAGGATGGATTTTGCATGGCATTTTTTTAAGTGAGTTTCTAGTACATTCAAACACAGCAGTTGTGTAATCTGACGATTCAGACGATTCAAAGGGCCCACAGCGTTTAGGGGCCCCAGAGATAATATGAGGGGCCCATTTCCACCAAACCCCCATCCTCCATCTTCGATTACGTCCACGACAATGAAAAAAAAGTCAACCCAGGCTCATTCTGAAAACATAGCACTATATACATTTCTAGAGAACGTCAAATATGTCCCAGGAGATGCGTTTTTTTTTTTTCCTTTTTTTTCCACAAATCTACCAGAGGCCACTGTGTACGCTTTTTCACATCTCAAATCTCTCGCGAGTGCGAGTGTTCTCGTGTAAATTCACTAGAGCCTGTTGTTGACTGACTGACTGACCGATCAACTGACCCACCCTCCTCTTTCCCTAAACCCAACCAATAGTGTTATCAAAAGCACTGATTGACCTGCCCACCTCCTTCCCTAAACCCAACCTTTAGTCATTTTCAGATTTCTCTGCGTGGTCGGTTTGGTCGTGGTGACGATCATGGTCAAGACCGTCTTGCACTAAGAAGTCAATTAAATGACTCGGTAACACTTTATAATGACTACACACTATAAATCATTTATTAAGCATTAGCAAATAGTGAATTTATTATCCGTTAAGCATTAACTCTACATTAATAAACATTAGTAAGCAGTTTATAACTGCAGCTACAAATGCTCTATTCTTGACTTATAACCATATTTAAAATGTGCTTAATAATTGTATTTTCATACTTAGTAAATTATTTATTTTTCATTACTAAATTAAGTATCGCATCATTTACAAACCAGTTGTATTTAAGAGCAGTTGAGGGTTTTTAGGATCATTCAGAAAGAGTTAGTAAATGATTAATAAACTATTGAAATCAACATTTATATATCTTATTATTCAGGCATATACTAATAGTTAACTAATATGTTAATAAATGCTTTATTAACTCAACTTCATGCAGTTTTGTGACCTAATCTAAAGTGAGGACTATTTATGCTTTATAAATCCCTTATAAATGACAAATTAAATAATATATACTTTAATATGAAATAATATTTTTACCCTGAATTAGATTTTTTCCCCAAATCACACTACCCTAGTGTCAAACTTACTGCACTTTTAAGGATACAATTTTGTAATGTTTCTTTCATGGATCTCAATGCATCATGTGCTATTTCTGAGTGTTGGTGCGTATATTCCAAGTCACCAATGACCACAGTTTGAGCTAAAAATTTAGTCTTTAATGTTATCCTGAAGAAAAAAAGGTCCGAGTAAATCAACAGAAATAATGTCATTTCGGATTAACTATCCCTTTAAGCTCAAGCGAACTGCTTTAAAACATGCAATTATGACACAGACCCTTCCGAGCGGCAAAAGATGGCACATTTCAGATTTAACACTCTCAAGTAGGTCCCGCACCAGCTGAGCATCTGCCATGGAGATGAATCTGAACGATGCAGAAAAGCAGAGGTGTTACAAACCTCAAACTGTGAGCTGCCACATCCACACCAGCTTCCCTCGCGAAAAGCGGAATTCTCTGGACAGGAAGCGCTCTGACATGAACGACACTTCAAGGGACTTCCTCTGCCTGCAAACCTGTGTTTTACATTTCAAAAACAGACACCGACAGAGCCTTCCAGTAGGATCAAGCATGAGAGGTGTTGGTATTTTTATTGTTTTCCGCATCCGGTGGCTTCACGTCAGCCTGAGAGAACACTGATAACACACACATTCCCCATGAGTGCTTGTGCGTTTGATTTAAAGATAAAGGAAATGGTGCAGGTCTCTTCAGGAGAAAACAGAGAAGACACTCGCTCCAGCCTGAAAACAGGAAAAGCTGAGGGGTTTGCGTTTAATGATATCGTGTGTATGTGTGTATATATATCTATATGAGGCATAAAGAGTACCAGTGTGTCAGAGAGACATTCTATATCCAGAGAGTGGGATCTCCATGTACATTTCGACAGTATAAATACAGTCCCTCCACTTGAGAAACCGAACAAACAATAACAACGACAAAAACAAGCAACAGTAGGCAGTAACACTGACCCGATCTAAAGCAAAAAAAACCTCTATGTTAGTGATGTGATTTCATAAATGAGGAATCGATCACGTGAAATGACAACGGCTCCATGCTGAAACACATGTTGATGAAAGCTCTGGTGAAACAGAAGGATTGGGGAAGCACAGAGAGACAGATACGAGAGCTAACGGAAGCTGGAGATGGACACGGGCAAGCTCAGGTGGTGGGCTTAGATTGAGTTCGTAGTAGAGAAAGGGGTTTTGAGAAGTGATGTGGCTTCTGGGATTGTTCTGTTAGATGGGCAGCTGGAACTTGACGTCAACCTGGGCCTCTTTGGCCAATGATACAATTTCAGAAAGCTTAACAACCTAGAAAGAGAAACATAAAAAAAAGAGAAAACTGAAATTAAAAGGTCCCGCTTTGAAATGTGCAGTTTTTATTTGGTGTTTGACGTAATCTCAACTGAAAAAAGAAGAGAGGGTGGGACAGAGTAGCTCCTCCCCTTTAAAAACAGCCAATAGTGGTTTGTTTTTACCACCACTCTGCCAGTGAGAGAGGTTGAGCTTAAGCGCATCAAATAATAGGCATCTTGAAAGGGAGGGTCATGGCCAATACTAAAGAGCATTTGAATTATAGATCAACATTTTTATGGGGTTTAATGAAAAAATGTTTTCGATCCATTTAGGCTGAGGTGACAAGTTGCAAGCTTTGGATGTGTTTATCAGTCTTATATTTTCTAAACGTGACTTTTGTCACTGTTTTGGTGTACATTAGCTAACAGATTAAAACTAACAGATTGAAACTAAAATCTAAAAAGACCTCTAAAGCTTTAGTTGCTGCTTTATTACAATGTGTGGTTGTTTTTTGGTTTTGTATTCAGTGGCATCAAAAATCAAGCTTCACATAGTTTTAAGAAAGATTGCTGTAGTTTTTAAGCTTTTTCTATTTTATTAATAATTTATCTTTGATTACTTGAAGTTTTACGGATCGTTTACATTTTTTCCTTTTTGCACATTTTCACCCTTTTGGTGTACTTTTTTATTACAATTAGAAAACGGACGGCAATTTTTATAATATTTATCAGTTTGTGGAAGAGAGATTTTGGGAATTGATGTGACTTCTGGTAGGGATGGGGAGTCGACTCCAAATAAGTCGATTCCTCGACTCTCAATGGACCTAGTGCCGGAATCGACTCCAGGACAGGAATCGACTCCCAGAGTCGAGTCTGTTTTTTTAAATCCTCCTGAATGAAGCAGTTACATGCTATAACTATAATGCTCATTCTGGAGCACGATGAACACTGAAGGTGCCCGCTTTGTATGCGTGTTCACACGTTTTACGCTTTTGCTTTTGAATTCCACGACCAGAAGTGCTGTAGGCTAATATAAAGTGCTGTTGGATGAAGTTAGCTTTAATTTTCAAACTCCTATGAAGCACCTACACCTTTTGCATTTTGGTTTTAATCTGCCTGTGATATCAAGTTTGCTGTGTTATAAATAAAATATAGCCTATATAAAGTTGAAGTCAGAATTATTAGCCCCCCTTTGAATATATATATATATATATATATATATATATATATATATATATATATTTTTTTTTTTTTTTTTTCTTCCCAAATGATGTTTAACAGAGCAAGGACATTTTCACAGTATGTCTGATAATATTTTTTCTTCTGGAGAAAGTCTTTCTCTAGAAGATTAAGATATTATTTCATAATATATGAAATATTTCATAAGTGTTATATTTCTGGAATGTCTCATGCTTTTCATTTTTAAGTGAACAACTTCTATATTTTCCATGCACTATTAATTTTCTTGAAACCCCAATGAACAGACTCCTCTCAATACATTTCCACTCGGTGTCAGTTTGGATTTGCCCATACGGGTTCATAAATTAAAGCAACGCACCATTTTGGCAGCCTCGTCCAGATCATCACAGGCCAGGATCTTCAGAGGGCTGGCAGCGATCAGAGCCTTGGCATCGTCCACTCGTGTTCCTGGAGACCAGAGTGACATGAAGGACAGAAAACATCAGCCATATGCACAGGCATCCATGGACAGACACCTTTTCCTGTCATTATTTGCTCAATCAGTGGATTTACTGTTTTTTTTTACATTTAATCTACAGTTTATGGATATAAAAGTGTCCCAACAGCCCGACCAAGACTCATCTATGACCCTTCTGCAGTTACTGGATGAGATTATTTTGAATAATTATTCAAATACAGGCTGTTTCTCTAATGAATCATTCAGACGTATCTACGAACTGGTTTATCCAACTCATTTAAAAAGATTTCTTGTTTTCTTAATATCTCGCAAGAAAGCTTCAAAATTTAATGAAAAAATGTATACATACATTTGAAGTCAAAATGATTAGCCCTCCTGTGAATTTGATGTTTAACAGAGCAAAGAATTTTTCACAGTTTTTCCTATAATATTATTTTTTTCTGGAGAAAGTCTTATTTGTTTTATTTTAGCTAGGATAAAAGCAATTTTGCATTTTTCAAAAAAAATTTAAAGGTCAATATTATTAGCCTCTTAATCAATATTTATTTTCTTTGATTGGCTAACAAACTTATTATACCATGACTTGCCTAATTACCCTAACATGCCTAATTAACCTTGTTAAGCCTTTAAATGTCACTAAGCTAAATACTAGTATCTTGAAAAATATCAAGTAAAATATTATGTGCTGTCATCATGGTGAAGATAAAAGAAATCAGTTATTAGAAATTAAAATTATTATGTTTAGAAATGTGTTGATATTTTCTTTCCGTTAAACAGAAATTGATGAAAAAAATATACAGGGGGGCGAATAATTCAGGAGGGCTAATAATTCTGATTTCAACTGTAATGTTCAGGGCCCAACAGATTTGTAGTCTGTTACTTTTTGTACATCACACAAACACACACATGCACACGCACACACACAAAGCTATTTTAGGTGATACTCATTTTAAGTAATGTACTCAGACTATTTTTGGGTTGCTTACGAAAAACTTGTTTCTAAAGTTGATTTGACTATTGTTATATAATAAATAGAGAAAGATACTAGATTAATTTCCTTGTTTTTATTGTCCAGCAATGCATTAAACATCACATTAAATTAAAAAAAAATTTAAAAATCAGGGAGATCACAAGCTTAAAAAAGGCTATTAATTAAATAAAAATAAAAAAACATCAAATTAAAAACGCACAAGTACAAAATAAACAAAAGAGATAAACAATAAATTAATATTATCAATTTAAAAAGGAAGAAACACACAAATTTGAAATAGTTAATTTGTGTGAATATAAATATACAAAGCTAACATGATTTTTTGAGATTAAAAAAAAAATCAATTTAAAACAAAAACTATAAATAATAAACAAATTATACCAATTAATAAAAGAAAAAAAACACTGAAGTGAATTGAAATACATAATTTGCGTGTACATGATTATTCATTCATTCATTTTCCTTCTTTTATTCATCAGGGGTCACCACAGCGGAATGAACCACCAACTATTCCAGCATGTTTTACACAGCAGATGCCCTTCCAGCTGCAACCCAGTACTGGGAAACATCCATGCATATTAATTCACACACATACACTACGGACAATTTCATTCATTTTCGGCTTAGTCCCTTTATTAATCAGGGGTTGCCACAGCAGAATGAACCGCCAACTAATCCAGCATATGTTTTACGCAGTGGATGCCCTTCCAGCTGCAACCCATCACTGGTAAACACCCATACACTTTCGTTTGCACACATACACTACAGACAATTTAGCTTATTCAATTCACCTATAGCGCATGTTTTTGGACTTGTGGGGGAAACCGGAGCACCCGGAGTAAACCCATGCAAACACGGGGAGAACATGCAAACTTCCCACAGAAATACCAATTGATTCAGCCAGGACTTGAACCAGCGACCTTCTTGCTTAAGGCGACAGTGCTAACCACCGTTAATCTTAAAAGAGAAAATTTTAAAAGAGCGAAGAATCATTCAATTATGAATAATTTACTGTTGTATAATTTCATTTTCTAATAATTTAATCCATCAAAACGTAATCCAAATACATAAGGAGACCCCTGAAAGAAAGAACCTGGGGAGAAAGTGCATAAAACGCTTGGCCATGGCACTGAAACGCCTATAGTTCATACCGATTTTCTAGTGAAACCTGCTTGACGTGCTTGTTCTTGTGGGCATAACTGAGAATGACTCAATTTTTCAGATCAGCACCCTTTTAAATAAAGCATGGGAACTGAAAACATTTTAATGGGTTTCAAATCATCCCTCTTCCTTCCCACTGATCAAAGTCAGCCGCACCATCAGTCATAATCACAGCATAAAGTTCATCTTCTCTCACCTTGTAACCGCACTACAATAGGGATTTTCAGGTCTAGGTCCGTGACAGCCATGATAATGCCCTGTGCAATGACATCACATCGCATGATGCCACCAAAGATGTTTACCAAAATAGCTTGAACCTGTTAGAAAGAAAACACAAACAAACAAAATATAAGCATTTTTGAAAAAACTCACTAATGCTATGTAGGGTTGTTATAATGCTGGAATTTGGTACCAATCTGTACTGGAATTTTAAAAACGTCCATTTCCCGCTTACATTTAAGCACTGTTGAGTACGTTCTTAAACAATGCTGATTTGCCATTGTGTTTAAGTGCTCAACAGAAGTGACTGTGAAGGTCATCAGGTCACTGAACTCACCACTGTTTAATGAGTATAACCACATATACAGCGAAACTGGAGCGTTTTAAAGCTGCGATTCATCAGCGGATCACACGTATGTCAGCTTATAGACAAACCAGTTGATTGACGTGCGTTACCATAAAATGTGGTCCTCTCACATGTACAGTTGAAAACAGAAGTTAACATACACTCTAAAAAACATAACCATACAACACAACCATTTTTTCTAAAATGTCTGATGGTAAATCAAAATAAACTTTTACTATTTTAGGTCTGTTAGGATTACCTAAATCATTTACATTTGCTAAATGCCAGAATAATGAGAGAATACATTTTTTTTTTTAAATAAATTTCTAGACAGTCAAAAGTTTACAAAAAAATTTTCTTGTTTTTTTTTTAGCTTTGTTTTTAAACTGTATAACTTTGGTCAAATGTTTTGGGTATCCTTACACAAGCTTCTCACAATAGTTTGCAGGAATTTCGGCCCATTCCTCCTGACAGAATTGGTTCAACTAAATCAGATTTGTTGGCTGTCTTGCTCGCACAAGCTTTTTTAACTCTGCCCACAAATTTCCTATAGGATTGAGATCAGGACTTTGTGATGGCCACTCCAAAACATTCACTCTGTTGTCCTCAAAGCACATTTTAACTAATTTGTCAGTATGCTTAGGGTCATGGTCTGTTTGGAAGACCCATTTGTGACCATTTCTCCATAATGTTCTTTCTTCATGATGCCATCTATGCTGTGAAGTGGACCAGTCTCTCCTGCAGCAAAATAGCCCCACAACATGATGCTGCAGCCCCCATACTTTGCAGTTTGGATGGTGTTCCTAGGCTTGTAAGCTTTCCCCTTTGTCCTCCAAATGTAACACTGGTCATTATGGCCAAACAGTTCAACCTTGGTTCCATCAGACCACAGGACATGTCTCCAACAATTATTATTTTTCCCAGTGTACTTTAGCAAATTGAAATCTGGCTTTGTTGTTGATTCTGGCTTGTTGATTTTCCCATGTTGTAAAACAAGGAGGCAGTGAGTTTGAGGTTTGCCTTAAATACTATTCTACAGTTGTGCCTCCAATTAACTCAAATGTTGTCAATTAGCCAATCAGAAACTTCCAAAACCTTGACACCCTCATCTGAGCTTTTTCAGAGGCATAATAATCTTATTGTCTGTAAACTTGACTTTCAAGAAAAGTTATAACAATTTCTAAACAAATATATCTCTCATTATTCTGCTATTAAGCATAACAGAAACAAATGTGATAACTTGCTTTAAAGTTTAGTCAAATTAACATCTGACTGTTTTTAAAATGGTTATGTGCCTCTTTATACAGTGTATGTAAACTTCTGGTTTCAACTGTATATGCCATTTCGTGCTTGTCTTTAGTAAGCTCTACTAATATCAGAAGGGAAAAAAACAGAAGCCAGTGCTTTGACAATGCTATTACCTTCTTATCAGAGGTGATGAGCTTGAAGGCCTCTGTCACCTGCTGAGCTGTGGCTCCACCCCCAACATCCAAAAAGTTTGCAGGTGTTCCTCCATGCAGTTTAATAATGTCCATGGTGGCCATAGCGAGTCCAGCCCCATTAACTAAACACAGGTGACATCACAGGTTTTAAATACATTCCAACTAGTCAAACTGTAGTAGAAAAGCTTACTAAAAGTGCTAAATGTAATACACAGTGTTATGAAATGTGCATTTTTCACTTAATGTTTGACGTAATCTCAACTGAAAATGAAGAGAGGCTGGGACATAGAGTAGCCCCTCCCCTTTAAAAAACATCCAATAGCGTTTTATCTTTTTAAGAGCTCTGCCAGTGAGAGTGGTTGAGATCAAGTGCATTAAATGAAAAGCAAATGAGAAGTGTTTTGAAATACTGTACTAGAGAGCATTTAATTGGTCAAGATTTGATGAGTAATATCAAATATTATCAGGTGTCGTGAGGTGTATAAGGTGACCTGAAAAAAATGCTGATCCATTGAGGTGAAAGTGACAAACTGCAAGCTTTGGATGTTTATATCAGATTTATATTTTCTAAACGCACATTTTGTCATTATTTTGGAGCACACAAGCAGACTGAAACATCTACTTTTTTATTTCACAGGACCTTTAAAAACTACTAAACTTCCAAATGTTTAGATGCATTATGATTTTAGGTTGTCTTTTCTGCTCACGGGCTGTATTTACTTAATGAGAAATCAGAGAAAAATTGTGAAAGATTATGTAAATATAAATGTATTTAGCAAATGTGCATTAAAATGATTACAATGTGACATATAAATGTCTGAATGTTATACATTCAGAAATTCACAATGGGTTTTTTGCCTTTAAAAAATAAATACTGTTTTTAAACCCATTGACAAAAAAAGCTCTTCAAAACAAAAAATATAAATTAACATTATTAATAATATTAATATTATTATTTTAAAAATCCATTAAAAATAATTGAGCAGCAATATAAAACACTGCACCAAATCAGCATATTTGAATTTCTGAAACATCATGTTACACTAAAGACTGGAACAATGACAGCAGAAATTATTATTATTAAATTTACTAATTTAAATTCTAATATCTAATAATGTTATTTTAAACTCTAATATTACTTCAAAGTTACTGCTTTTATTCTTTTTTTTGACCAAACATCTTTCTGTTTTAATGCAGTTAAATAAATTTTTTTTTAAATAATTAAAATAAATAGCATGCATATATAAACTTTTTTCCCAATATATTCAATGTTTGTCTAGTGGCTGGTTGAGGGTTTCATACAAAGCAATTTTCTATTTTAATTGAAATGTATATTATGTCTATACTTTTTAAAATACAAATTCTGATGAAAATGATAAATAAATAATAATAATAAAAAGAATAATAAAAATCTTAAATAAAATAAAAAATGTATGAAAAATTAATTTCAAAATATATATAAATAATAAATAAAATTATTGTATTTTATATATATATATATATATATATATATATATATATATAAAATATATTTATATATTTATATTTTATATATATATATATGTATATATATATATATATATAATATATATATATATATATATATATATATATATATATATATATATATATATATATATATACACACACACACACACACACACACACACACACATATATACATATATATAAAAAAAAATATATATATATATATATATATATATATATATACACACATACATACATATATACATACATATATATTTATACATATAAATATATATATACATATATATATATATATATATATATATATATACACACATATATACATATCTATATATATATATATATATATATATATATATATATATATATATATATATAAACATAGATAATATTTATTATTATTTTATTTATATGTATATAAAAATGTATGGATGGTTTTCTTTCCTTCTTTGGTTTATACTGACCCAGGCAGCCGATAGTGCCATCTAGGCCAATGTAATTGAGGTCTGCTTTGGCTGCTTGTCTGTCTCTGGCATCCTCCTGGGACCAGTCTCGCATGTCGAACACTTTCTTCTGTCTATAGGCAGCGTTTGAATCAAAGTTGATCTTAGCATCCATACACATCACTGCAAACCACAGAAGGAGATTTAATGGATCATTTGTTTCAGAACTGCATAAATCTGTCAGAAACTTACAGCGAAGGGGTTTAATAATAAACATAAGGGTCTCAATTTCAAAGTATCTGCATTTGTTTACCAATTCCAGAAGAATCCTCCACCATTGGGTTGATCTCCACCATAGATGCATCATACTTAATGAACACATCATAAAGTTTCAACATGTTTTCCGCAGCTTCATTGATCAATGCAGGGGGAAATCCCATCTTCTCTGCCACCTGCCAGAGGTTAAACAGAGTATTAAAGAACATTTTTCATGCAGGGGTCAGTGTCTAGCAGAACCAGATTCTATTCTGCACCTCACCTTAATGGCTTGATCCATCTTAATTCCCTCTACAATATCAATAGGCTCTTTGACAATGGCATCAGGATTCTCTGCAGCCACATCCTCAATGTTCACACCCCCCTGAGAACTGCCAATCAGAACGGGGCCCTGCAGGGGGTGGAGAAGAGCCCATGTGATCATTTAAAGAGCAGGTGAAACTAGTAAAATGCTCAGTAAAAAGTTGCCCTCTATTGGCCACTCGGCTCACTGCAGCGAGTCAAGTGATGATGTCATTATGGAATGCCTCTAAAAAGACTTTGTACTTGAATGAACAAATAAGCAGGTGATGTCACAGATAAGGCTCTCACCTGGTAAGACCTCTCCATAGTGATGGCGAAGTAATACTCTCTGCGTGGGTATCTGCGCTCACAGACAAACACTTGATTGCAAATGCGTCCTGCTTCTCCTGTCTGCTTGGTGAAAAGCTTCTTGCCAATCATCTTAGATGAGATATCCCTCGCTTCTTCTGGCCTGCAGACAAAAAACAAACAAACAGGCGAGATGTAATGAAGAGATAGGAAAAAAAGAAGACCATAAAGGGATAAACAGGGCTTTTATTTTGTTACTTTAACTTTTAAAATGTATTTCGCTACTACCGATTACAAAATACATGTTTTAAAGGTCCTGTGAAGTGCTTTGAAGAGTGCATTTGTTTATTTATTTATTTTTAAGGGGTTTTTCACCTTTATTATGACAGGAGAGTAGAAATTTTAGATATAAACACATTGGTAGCAGAGAGAGGAAAAGGACCTCAAGTCCTCAGGAATTAAACTTTGGTCACCGTGAGCACACCGGTGCTGTATGTCAGTGCACAGTACCACTAGGCAATTGGCACCAACACATTTGTTTATTTGATGTAATCTCAACTAAGACTTTAAGACTGGGTAAGACATAGAGTAGCCCCACCCCTTTATCACATCTGGGCCAGTAAGAGTGATTGAGATCAAGCAAATCAAGTGAAAATGAAATGAAAAAGGGTCTTGAAGGGGGCGGGACATGTCATATACTAGAGAGCATTTGATTGGTCAGAAGATTTGATGAGAAACTCAAAAAAAATCATTCATCAATTTAGGCGAAAGTGACAAACTGCAAGCTTTTTACATTTACATGTTCTAAATGCGAATTTTGTCACTGTTTTGGAGCACACTAGCTAAAAATTCCAGAGCGTCCTAGCCTGTGTGAACAGCGTTTTTTTTATTTACTGTAAAGTCGTTCCGGAAATTTTCCAGATATTTACCAGTACCACTGTATGAAAGGGGCTATTGAGTGTGGTCTCCACCTTTAACCAAAAAGGCTTTTTTTTTTTTAATAATTAACACATATTAAACCTCCTTAACATTATTAATAGGCTACTGAGTTACTAATAGGTGAGGCAGTGGCGCAGTAGGTAGTGCTGTCGCCTCACAGCAAGAAGTTCACTACGTCGCTGGTTCGAGCCTCGGCTTAGTTGGCGTTTCTGTGTGGAGTTTGCATGTTCTCCCTGCATTCGCATGGGTTTCCTCCGGGTGCTCCGGTTTCCCCCACAGTCCAAAGACATGCGGTACAGGTGAATTGGGTATGCTTAATTGTCTGTAGTGTATGTGTGAATGAGTGTGTGTGGATGTTTCCCAGGGATGGGTTGCGGCTGGAAGAGCATCTGCTGCATAAAAAAAACAAGCGGTATAAGTTGGCAGTTCATTCCGCTGTGGCGACCCCGGATTAATAAGGGGACTAAGCCGACAAGAAAATGAATGAATGAGTTACTGAGGCTGTTCTGATATTCATTTTCAAGCCGTCTGTTAGTTATTTTATTTTCAAACTATCTGCTGCTGCTTTCAGTGTTATGGCGATAAATGTCTTATAAAATAATATTTAAACTTACATTGGTAGCAGTTTTTTTTTATTGAGATTGGTTCAAATACCCAAGTTTGGTTAAATATTGATAATGTTCAGAAGTACTGCAACTGTAATTTGATAAGCACTATTTAAAATGCAAGTATAACAAAGTAGTTACTAATATTTTGTAAATACATAAAGCCGTTACATGTATTTCATGCATACAATGTAGTAGCAAACACTCACGAGTAAACGATTCTGACTCCTCCTTTCAGTCCTCCTTCAAAAGTGCCTTTGCCTCGACCACCCGCCAGCACTTGGGCTTTTATAACCAAGTCTTTAGAACCTGAGAAGAGAGAGAAAAAACAGCAACTAGATTAGGACAGTTGGACAAAATTTAAAATGACCTTTTAAACACCTTTTCTTAAATGCTCCTAGCATATTTTTGCACATTGATAAAGTCAGTATGTTTTAAAACGAGTTTATAAAATGTTTGTTTTGCAAGCATTTAACGTGTTGTTAACGTATTATACATTATTAAATGTTAATAACAGATTTACCAATCCTTATGTTCTAAATATTTAACATGTTAATTTAACATTTAGCTAATGATTTAGCACTTTAGCATGTATTGACATTTCTAAAATGTTTTAACACATTGCTAACCTGATTTTACCATGTTGTTAACATTTGCTTCATGTTTTTGTTCGACTGTTTCAAACTAAGAATAAATATAGATAAAACCAAACTACATAATAATAACTTCAATAACAACTTCATATGTCAATAAGAGCTGCTGATACAAATTAAATAAATAAAAATAAAAATAAAAAACTACAAAAATTTACAAATAAAAACATTAGATATGACTTTTTAGTTACATTTTTGATAAAGATCTTGAAATTCTTAGAGATAAATTCTCATTTTTAAAAATATACTGCCTCATGTTTTAACAAATTAAAAATTTCCTAACATGTTTTAACAAGTTAATATTTTCCTAACATGCTTTAATACTTGTATGTCCCTAATATACCTGTTTTTGTAAACATGGTTGCATCAGTTTTACTATAATAAAACCATTATTACTTTTTATGAAGGACTTAAAATATGAAATAGGTACCAGTAGAGATACAGTTTATATCAGTAGGGATGCTCAGCATGTTTCAGCATGAAAAAAGAAGAACCCTGCATCCTCAAACGATGAGTCAATCTGTAATCACCTACAGTCTCTAAACCTGCACAGACCTGCTGTACAGCTTATGCAAGGCTGGATCGGACTGTTATGATTAACCTAGTGTCACTTTACAGGCTGATAAGTAGCAGTTTTGATTCACAAGGATTTAGATTTCATAACCAGGGTAAAAACAACACGCATATGACAGCAACAAGCACAGCTTAAAGCACAGTGTCCTAAACGCAATCACACTTGCTTATAATAAGCAATAAAGGATTTTCAGGATTTGTGGAATCATTGTTAAATTTAACTATAACAGTGTCAATGTGTATCATTTGCATGTGTTTTTAAAGCCTTGTTCCATGTAATAATAGAATTAAACAGAGAGCTTAAAGCATTAAGGCACATGAAATTATAACATTAACTAAGATGAAATTCATTTCACATATACAGTGAAGACGCAGTGTTGTTTTTCATCCGATTGTTAAGTTTCTGTATCTGTATAGAGACAGAAAAATCTAAATACAATTTATATTTGTATCTTTGTTGTATTGTATTTTTACAGTATTTCCTGTTATATTTTCCTTCTGGAAAAAGTCATATTTCATATATGAATATGCATTTTTAAAATTGAATTACCAAAGTCATTATTGCCAGTTTCTATTATTATTAGCCCATTATTATTTTAAAAGCTGTTTTTTTGGACTTTGCATTCATAAAAATAATTATTAAAAACAATAAACATTTCTTATTATTTTACTGAAACTGTTATTCAAGTACCAAACCTACTGTACAGAACATAATATATTTTATTTCTAAACGATTATCTTACCCTAAAAACATTGACATATAAAACAAAAGAAGAATAAAAACTTTACATTAAATGGAAAATTCTTTTCTTTCTATTTTTCCAAAAATAAGAAAATGCATAAATCACAATATTAAATAAATTATTTATATTTTTGATCAAACAAATCTAATCTCCTTTTGTTTTTCCTAGAACATATTGTAGTGATTTCCAACAGAATTTCCAGGTTTTGGTTTCGTAATGTTGTCATGTTAGAGCCCTGAAAAAGAGAAGTGCCACACAGAACTGCAGGTTAGACATTGTGAAACTATGGATATCTCTAAATTTGGCCATGTTGCAATTTTGCAAACAAAAAAACTCCCACTTTTTGCAACCCTGAAGTTCAGTTTGGTGCATTTACCAGAAATTAAATGTACATTAAAATCTGGAATCATAGATTCTGTTTTTTTTAATACTCTATGTTTAAATCTAGTTCTCTGCTTGTGACACCCAACCCTCCTTTCTTCCAGCACTGGCTGTCCATCATTGGCTTGTGCAGGTGCTGTCTATATGCTGACAGTCAGATTAGAGTTTAAAGGCGGCAACATTCTCCAGAAGTGGAGCAAATCTATGTTTAGACTCCAGCGTGTGTGAAAACAGCACAACAGCTGAAACACAAACACACACTATATTTAAGACCTTTAAATAGGGTAACCTGGGAGTCCAGCTCAAAACACACTTATTCAACCTGCAAAGAAGTGCATCAGACAGATCTTTATTGTCGTTGTATCTTTGTATGCTGAAACTGATTGTGTGCAGTATTAAAATATATATATTATTAAAAATGATAATTCAAGGCTGTAAAACAACCTATTACCAGGCTTTCTGCAAGCTTCACAAAGTCAAATGTAGTACTTTTAAAGAGAATTATTAATTTAATTTAAGATCTAAATCATGTTGGTTTAATATGCGGCTGTAATTCATGTGATTATCTTTGGACTAGCAAAATAAATCTACAAAATCAACATTAGAAACTTTGAGGTAGCAGTACAAGAAAAGAAAATGGAAAAAGGTTTAAAACTGTTATGCATACACACATTGTATTTGAATCGCTAACTGTGCAAACTGGCATTCCTTACATTTAAATATTTGTTGCTGAAAAAAATGTGTAAAGAACAAATAAGTCTATACACAGTTGATGACAAATGGTTAGCCTTCCTGTGAAATTAAGATTATTTCTCAAGGGCTGTTTAACGGAGAGAGAACAATACAACACATTTGAATGTAATAATTTTTAATAACGTCAAAAAACAAGTTTTTGCCATGATGATAGTATCTAAAATATTTTTATGGACTAGTTATTTTCCAAGAAACTATGATTCAGCTTAAAGGTAAATTAAAGTCTTAACTAGGCAATTAGGCAATTCATTGGATAAAAGTAGTTCATTCTGTGGCCAACCAAAAAAAAAAAAAAAAAGAAGAAGAAAAAAAAGGGGCTTAAGAGTAATAATCCTGACCTTAGATGTTTTTACATTTTAAAAATATAAGAAATATTTTAAACTAAAACAAATATGACTTTCTCCAAAAGGAAAATATAATATGAATTACAGTGATGAAAAATGTTCTTGCTCTGTTAAATATCACTTAATTTTTTTAAATAAATAATAATTATAATAATAATAATAATAATAATAATAATTAGGCAATTAATTGGATAAAAGTGATTTATTCTGTGGCCAACAGAAAAATATATATATATACATTAAGGAGGGTAATAATGCTAATTTTAGTAGTTTTAACATTTTAACAACTAAAAGAAATATGACTTTCTCCTGAAAGAAAGATAAAATAGGAAACACTGTAGTGAAAAATGTCCTTGCTCTGTTGAACATCACTTGAAAAATATTTGAAAATAATAATAATAATTAGGCAATTCATTGGATAAAAGTGACTCATTCCATGGTTCGTTTTGTCACCGACCGAAATAAATAAATAAACAATTAAACAAACAAATAAATAAATAAATAAATAAATAAATAAACAAATAAACAAACAAACAAACAAATTATATATATATATATTAGGGATGTAACGGTATTGTAAATACCATCATACCGCAATATTAATTTTTTTCGATATTACCGAAGTCGCATGACTCGGTAAAACTATAGGTCTTCTGAGAAAATTTGCTCAGGCGAATGAAGCGAACGGGAGGTAGCTTAAACTACATTTCCCATCAGCCCAGGCGTGGCCATAATCCTTTGCGGTCTGTTGTCGCTACAGATCCAGTAATGCGGAAATGGAGTGTGCTGCTAGTAGCGGAGATGAAAAAAAGATGGAAATGATCGAACCTAAAGCGGGTGTTGTCGCCGCGCGTTCTGATCAGCTGTGTTGTCGCGAGCGTATTGTAAAGCGCCGAGGGGGGGTTGAGCGCGCATTCTCAAGAGCGGTGTTGTCTACTGAAGGGCTGGACGGAGGTTGTGTCGCGTCGCGGGGGCACTTTTGATCGATTTGGAAGGGCATTTTCTATCCAAGACTAAAAAGGGCATGTGCACTGCACAGGTTGAGCCCTATGTGTGCACGTGCCTGCAAGTTGGTGAATACGACTAATAGCAGTCATGGGGACTGCAGAAACACAGCACACTGTTCAGATTGATGCAGACATTGACTTGTACCGCAAAGAGACCTCTATCTATCTCACTCATGGTTTGTCTTCTCAAGTGGGGGAAAGACAATGCACAACGTTACCCACTGCTGTCAACCTGGGCCAAGTCATATCTCTCTTGTCCCAGAAACCTCAGTCCCAAATGAAAGGGTTTTTTTCTGTTGCAGGGGACATTGTAAATACCCAGAGATACCAGCTTTTACCAGATTATATTTATATGATAATTTTCCTTTAAAGCCATCTCTATCTAAGTGAGTGAGTGATTAAATGTTGAATGTGATGAGTTTTCAACACTACTAAATTGAAACTTTATTTTTTTACATGGTTTAATATTTTTTTGTTATTAAAATTGAAGTTCCTGTTTCAAAGCTTACAGATAGATGGCTAATTTGTATGTCATTGACACTTTTGGCACGTTTTTGGAGTATTTTCATAAGTTTTGTTTTTTTCCTGTAAATGATTCAATAAATACCGTACTGTGACATTCATACCGAGGTATTACCGTACCGTGAAATTCTGATACCGTTACATCCCTAATATATATATATATATATATATATATATATATATATATATATATATATATATATATATATATATATATATATATATACATATACATATAAAAGAAGGTAATATTGCTGACTTTAGCCGTTTTAACATTTTATTAAAATATAAATTTAAGAAATATTTGAAGCTAAAAGAAATATGACTATCTTAAAAAGAAAAATATAATAGGAAATACTGTGATGAAAAAATGCTGTTCAGGATCACTATTTGGAAAAAAAATTGAGTAGGCAATTCATTGGATAAAATGGTTTGTTCTGTGATTTGTTCATTTCGTAAAAAAATAATATTAAAAGGGGTAATAATGCTTAATAATATAAATAAATAAAATATAAATATAAGACATGTTTCAAACTAAAATAAATATTATTTTCTCAAGAAAAAAATGTGTGTGTGTATCTATATTTATGAAATACTTTGAAAAATGTAATTGTTAAATATTACTTGAAAAATGTTTGGAAAAAATATATAACAATAATAATAATAATAATAATAATAATAGCTACTAATAATAATTAGAATAATAATGATGATAATAATTAACCAATTCATTGGATAAAAGTGGTTTGTTCTGTGGCTGGCCATTTTTATTTAAATATAAGAAATATTAATTTTTTTAAATGCAGGAAATAATATAATATAATAATATCATTTAATTTAATATAATAATATAATTTCACAGTATTTATACAATAAATACTGTGAAAAATGTCTTTGTTCATTTAAAATCACTTTGAACAAAAAACTGTATTGCACATCAAATACAGTAATGCAGTCCTATCAAAAATACACGGCTTTACTCAGACAATGTCCAGCATATTTTCATGTTTTCTCACCGATTTGCTTGGCAGCAGTATAAGCCTCATCAGGTGTGCTGGCGACCATCCCCGCGGGCACAGAGATGCCCGCCTCCTTTAGCAGGCCGATGCTCATGTACTCATGCAGGGAGAGCTTTCTCTGCTGCTGCAGCGACAGCATTGGAGATGGCTGGTTTCCATGGTGCCCAAACAGACCTGATGTCCCACCAAGCACCTGGTAATTGAAAGCAAATATTGATAGTACAAATCAAATCCAACTCTGCAAACAAGAGATTGAACAAGGGATAATGTTGCCACAAAGCCATAGTCGTTTTTACAATTCAAACACAACTTCTGTGATTGCTTGATGGAATCATCAAAGCGAAATAAATGCAAGAAAAGTCTAAGATTTGTTTTATTTTTAAGATATTAATCATTTTAGATGTTAAGTTTATCTCCTTTGACAATAAATAATGCAAAGGTAATGGTGGGTGATCTGAAGATATTATGATTTAACCCTAAATGTAATCCTTTATAGAGAAGTATTGCAACTGGAAGAGCATTCGCTGAATAAAAAACGTGCTGGATAAGTTAGCGGTTCATGCCTCTGTGGCGACACCGGATTAAAAAACAGTTCATTTAACAGTTCATTCCGCTGTGGTGACCCCAGATTAATAAAGGGACTACGCCGAAAAGAATGAGTAAAACAGAATGTCTCTCGCAATGTGTGCATCCGCAATAGTCACATCGCAATGATATGCAATGTTGAGTTGACTTTACAGTGTCATTTTTACAGTTACATATGAGCAATCCCATGCAAATGCCAACCTTGCCATAAAAGAAAAATTTAGGTTTTCACCAAAATAGACAAACCGTTTCTACTTTTCTTTGTGTAAGGAAGTATTTACAGTACTTTAAAATTGCTCAAAAATGTCTCTGTTAATGTTTTCAAACTATTGTATTTGATTTCCCTCATAAATACAAAAATGTCAAATAAAATGAAACCACTCATTTTTGTTCTATAGTGAGCCGACTCTTATTCTTTTGATTAGCATTTTTTCTTTTGGGTTGTCCAGTTTAATTCACAGACTATCTACAACGTATGTCGTATACTGTAAACTCGCAAACTTTTTTGTCACATCCATAACACATGTTTATTTTCCTCATTTAAAATATAAAAAATGTTTACAGATGGATATTTTTCTGATCCTATAAATCTGTGGTTGGTTGTTTTGAAAAAATATAAACAAATGCTTCAAAATTATGTTAACATTTGCTTTCTATGTGAATTTATCCTTTGAGTTTTTACTGCAAATGTCACGTCCATGACGCTGAAATTGCTCATACACAAAACCACAATGCATGCACTGTTTATTTCACTTTTATTTTTGCCTTGTTGCATTTATCTATGCTTGTAGTTTCTTTATTACAAGTTACGATGATTCACTTCCCTACAGAATCATCCCAGTCAATCAAAATACACTCAGTAACACTTTAGCGTCCAATTCTTATTAGTTGCTTATTAGTATGTATATTATTGAGATATTGGCTGCTTATTAGTACTTATAAAGCACATGTTCTGTATGATCTTATTCTACCCAACACTTAAACTAACTTAATAACTATTAATAAGTAGAAAATTAGGAGTTTATTGAAACAAAAGTCAAAATGGTTTGCTAAGAACGAGAACTTAAATGTGACTAAAATTATTTTCAAGTATAATGAAGATATATAAATCACAGAAAAACTAAATATCACAATGTCAGATGTCTCCAATATCGTGCAGCTCTAATGTACACAATAGCAACAAATTACCATCCAAGTAATCAACAATACAGTGCTGCATATAAATAAGTTAGATACATTATGAAGTAAGCTACCTAGGTGTCTCACTCAAGGGTACAACCTTTCACTGACCAAACAATTATTTCAACAAATGTATGATTCAGAAATATTAACACTTATAGTTCATTTTAACAAGTACATTTGCAAATCTGAGTGGTTTAAGGATTACTTTACCAACCAGCTGTTACTACAGGTGAATGGACTACTACATAGAGTAAAACATAAGTGTCCCTCCGTAAGTTACATGTAGGTCAAAGTTAACTCGTAAACCCAGCTGACATGTAATTGGTATGTATGATAAGAATACAAACAAACATAATACTCTAACAATCCCAGAAAAAATCTCGGATTAGACAGTAATACAGCACCCGCTCAGTACATAATGAACAGCTTTGCTAACCTAAGCATTACTGATTATTATTAATGACAGGCTGTTAGCCAATGTGCTAATGTCAAAGGAGAACTGCCCATTTGGTGCCATTGTAAGTGACCAAAACAGAAAGCTACTTCATTAATGGAAGTCGGTTATTAAAATCTGACGCGTATACACAAAACTGACCTTAGCTGCCGAGCTTACAGTCGTCCTGGAGCTGGAATTCCTCAGTCCAGCGGACAACCGGCCACAGATCAGGGACGTCGCCATGTTGCTCTGTGCTGAAGCAGCGCTGCAGAAAAACAAATGATTGGACGCGCCTGCGTCTCTACGTAACGTTACGTCAGTTGCGCAACTGTGCTTTGAGAATAGAGTCTATCACGGTTGGCCATTTCCTTCTTCATGATCCAAAAAGCTTTATTTTTTTTAATCAATTCGTGTGTTAATGACAAATATCCGCTTTTGGTTTAAGATTTGAAATGATTTGCTACCAATCGTGTATGTCAAAGTGAACAAGCTTCGATTTAATCGTGAAAGATATGCTTGCTGCAAGGAGATTCATCTACCAAGTAAGATATAGGTAAGTTTAAACTATGGTGTGGTTTCCATTAATGGTCAGTGCCACCACTACCTGTAAAGGGGGTTTGAATCATTTCAGTGATTCTTCGAGTCTTTTTAATCGGCTCTTCTTGTAGTATATCTTTCAGCCAGTAGATGGCAGCAAGTGATTGTCGTTTTCTGTGTTTTGTGTTATTGAATCATCACACTAACTAATCTATTCAAAATCATTCAAAAGGTTCTTACATAGAAACCAATTAAGGTATTTGGAACACCACAAAGAGAGTGAGTCCACACACAATAGTGAGTCTTTTCAATCAGCCCTTCTTGTAGTATATCTTTCAACCAGTAGATGGCAGCAAGTGAGTGTCTTTTTGCGTGTTGTGATAAGTTATTGAATCATCACACTTACTTATCTATTGGATATCATAAAGTGCTTAAATAGAAACTATTTTAGGTTATTTGGAACACCAAACAGAGAGCAACATGAGGGGCAGCCCGGGGAGATTGTATTGTCCCACTCTGGAAAAGTGCCTTTGGTCGGGGTGCCTTTTCAGTTACAGCTGCACAGGAGTGGAACTTTGTCCCTGGGAACATCAGAGAAATAACTAAATACAACATGTTAAAAAAAACATTTAAAAAATCTGGTTCATAGAACATCACACATGTCATCATTAGTATTAGAAGTACAAAAACAAAAGGCATTTATTTTTTAAATGAAGAGTTTGGAACCATATTTGCATACAGCTAAATAATTTACACCGTTCTCATCTCGCATTAGACCAGGGGTGCTCAACCCTGTTCCTGGATATAGAAGCTGCACCCCAAATGGCACACTATACACTATGCACTTTGTACTTTTTCAATTACTCACTCAACAGCATAGTATATGCATGTAGTGTTGTTCCAAACAGAACACTAATGTTTTTTTACTAAGCAGAAATTCAAACCATTTTCCAGATGATGTTTGCTGGTTGCCAAATTAGTGAAATTAATGACCAAACTAATCAATTTTCTATAGTTGGGTGGAAAACGATATTTTATTAGTCTCACAGTTATTAAACGATGAAGGATATACACTGACTTTTAAGAGAAGTTTAGTTTTCCAGAACCTCCACAAGATTATAGTATTTTAATTGATGTAATACCAGCAGGCCTGGTGAGGCTTTGCAGGGTTACAGTGAACCAAATAAACTCACAGTTAAATAGGAGAATTTATTAGATGGTGTTGTAATAATACATTTCTTATTAGAAGTTTGATTCATTATCCTGCAACTTTTAGACATAAATACTTTTGGAATAACCAATTTGAGAATATCAATTGGAACTTGATCTGGACTTATAACAACAAATAAATCAAAATTAGTGTAATAAAATATCTTGTGTTTTTTTGCGGAATGAATGTTGAGACTGTTATGCATTTGTGTTTTTGATTGTATGTAAGTTAAATATTTGTGGGTTGATGTTGAATGTCTATTTAATATACTGAGCAGTCATAGAATTAATATAAAGAAAAGAGGTGTCATTTTTTACTTAAATAAAAAAAGAGATAAGAATCTCCTGTTTATGTTAAATCTTTTGATATTATTAGACAATATGGTTGGAGAGGAAGCCTAACATCTTCCATTTCAAGGCTGATTTAAACATTTATTTTAAAACTCTTAAAGGACTTTTAAGTCGTAAAGCAACCAGAACTGTGAATACACTCCAAAAACTCATCTTCGCTATGGTAATCATTTTGTATGCCCTCTCTTATTCTTTTTTTTTTTTAAGTTTTTCTCTTCTTCTTTCTCTTTTTGTTATTTAGCTTACATATTTTATACTAAAATGCGAATATCCTATTGTAAGATTTGTTATGCATTTGATTGGAAATGTTCAGCAAATACACAGAAAAAATTATTCAAAGATGATTCCTTGAATTTAGTAAAATATTTTAATTTAAGTGGTTAAAAACAATTTGTTTGGGCTGGATTTAAACAAACAAATTAAGTTAAACATTACTAAATTTAATTTGTTTATTTAAATTCAACACAAATAAATTGTTTGCAACAATTTTGCAGACATTTTTTTCAGTGTACAATAAAAAAAGACCAATTTACCAAACAACACCTGCCAAGAGTATAACCACATTCATCATCCCACTCTCGTAGGAGAATTTTGCTTTCACAATCTGAAAAAAACAAAGTTCTCCAACAAGTGTGCCAACTGTATCTATCTGCAGTAAGATGAAAGGGCGTAACTTGTAGCAAGTTAGAGGCGTAACTTGATGTTATTATTGTCATCCCACTGAACCAACGCGATGTCTTTTCTCCAAATGTATCCATCATTTATCAAAGTCGTTTGATATGTTATGATTTCCATCCATTTAGCAACTCATGCAACTACTCCACCCGCTGCCTTTAAGTTACGCCCCTAAGACACCTTCATGTTACGCCCCTCTCTTGCAGTCCGCAGCTGATAACTCCGCCTCTTCCGCTACATGAGCAAAGCTGCGGTGGTTTAGCGCGGGAAGATCCAACATTCACACTTCATTTTACCGGTTAAATACGTGCATCTGCCGGGTAATGAAAGTGCACTTTTTATTTTTAGAGTTTTCAATGTGAACGCACTTGTTAAATTATTTATACTACAAAATGGCGCAGAATAGTGCATAAGTATGCGATTTGGGACGCAGCTCTACCGTTCTGTAATGTTCAGCTCCAACCCTGATCAAACACAACTGAACCAATTAATTAGGACCTGAACAGCATTTGATAATTGCAGGCGCTTAATATGGGTTGTACCTGAAAACTGCAGAAAGGTAGATCCCCAGGAACAGGGTGGGTCATTCCTGAATTAGACAATATAGGCAGACAGTTTGCACAACTTTATAACTTCATTTGTTTCTTCACAGTTTACATACAATGTCTGAGGCAGTTGAAAATGGAAAACCCATCCTCAAGCGTCCTGGAGTGGGGCTCGCGGTTCTTGTGACAGACTCCTCCAATCCTGGATGTGTACTGTTAGGAAAAAGAAAAACCAGAGTTGGGAAAGGCACCTACCAGCTACCAGGAGGTCACATTGAATTTGGGTGAGTTTATACTATAAAGCACATCACTGTGTCCTTTTTATAATGTTTAGGCATGCCTGCTAACTTTAAGTTTACACATGCGCTAGAGCATGTATAGTACGTACACAAACATTTGAAGTGAAAATGATCAACCCTCCTGTGAAATTGTAATTTAAACAAATAAATCCCAAGTGCTGTTCAACACATTTCTAAACATAATAGTTTTAATAACTGAAGTTATTAAATAACTCTGCTCTTCTGCATACTTTGGTTTCTGCATACCTCGGTTGTAAGGAGTGATTATTTGAGTTACTGTTGCCTTCCTATCAGCTCGAACCAGTCTGGCCATTCTCCTCTGACCTCTGGCATCAACAAGGCATTTGCGCCCACAGAACCGCCGCTCACTGGATATTTTCTTTTTTTCTGACTATTCTCTGTAAACCCTAGAGATGGTTGTGCGTGAAAATCCCAGTAGATCAGCCATTTCTGAAATACTCAGACCATCCCGTCTGGCACCAACAGCCATGCCATGTTCAAAATCACTTAAATTACCTTTATTCCCCATTCTGATGCTCGGTTTGTATTGCAGCAAATCGTATTGACCATGTCTACATGCCTAAATGCATTGAGTTGCTGCCATGTGATTGGCTGATTAGAAATTTGTATGAATGAACAGTTGGATAGGTGTACCTAATAAAGTGGCCAGTGCGTGTACATAATACAGTGCAAAATACAATGACATACTTTTAAGACAATGTACATTTAAATACATAAATACACAATAAATATGTAAAGAAGCAAAATAGACAAGTAGTGTCTATTTAACATACTACACCTTAACATAAGTAAAGTTAGTCTCTTGAAATATTCGACATCATCAGAGAGAGCTGGGAGGAGTGTGCTCAGAGAGAGGCGATGGAGGAAGCCGGTATCCATCTAAAGAACATCCGCTTTGCACATGTCATCAACTCTATCAAATTGGAGGAAAACTACCACTACATCACGATCTTCATGCTGGGAGAAATGGACCGGTCTTACTCAGCTGAAGCAGTTAATCTGGAGCCAGAGAAAAATGAAGGTAAACCATTTCGTTGACTGCGTAGTCTGTGTCCAGATAGCCCACCCACAAATCATTCATGATAGTGATACAAATCTGTCATGTGAGACTATCCCATGTCTCACGCCAACTTGGCAGTCACCATTATGATGGGTTTTCGCAGTGTTGAGCAGATACTGATGTATTTTAAGTACAAATGTGTTGTATATTGATGCATCAGTCTAAGTTATTGATGACTTAAATTTCATGTAAGTCTCATCATTAGATAAACAGACTAATAGTTAACATTCACATATTATGAAATGTTTTCCCAGCACTGGGTTGCGGCTGGAAGGGCATCCGCTGCGTAAAACATATGCAGTAATAGATGGTGGTTTATTCCACTGTGGCGACCCCTGATAAATAAGGTACTAAGCCAAAGGAAAATGAATGAATGAATATTATTAAATATGGATTTTCGTCCTACTTAAAGCAATAGTTCACTCAAAAATAAAAATTCTATCATCAGTTTCTGACCTTCATGTCATTCTGATCCTATAAGACCTGAAACATAAATCTATGCAATAAATGTGTATTACCCAAAAATGAAAATTGTCATCGTTTACTCACCCTTTACTTC